AGGACTTCATAAAAGGTGAAATATGCTCTCACCTGGCAACACCAAATTTTCCACCGATCCATCACATACACATACATCTATCACACCAGTAGCATGCACAGACCAAAATTATGGACATAGCAATGTGAATTTCAAGTGTGAGCACGATGATATACTAACAAACAACTAGCAAATCAAACGACCAGGGGGGATGACAGAGACGGTGCTCAGAACGCTGAGATGTGAGACTCGCGAATCTCTTTTCTGATTTGGTACCTCCAGTCGTTGGCACTGCCAGCACCTCCTGCTCCATCAAACACCACCTCCATGGCACCCAGGTTCAAACTATGGTTTCCTTCTAGACTGGTCCAATAAAAGGATAAGCTGGATGTGAGTATTATGGGCTGGCTCGGGGTCGGCATGTATGCCATATGGAGCAAGGTCACATGGCCATGCCAATGCCCCTTATTTATTAGGGAAAAAGTCCAAAAGTTCATTATGAACAGTTCACACTGCTTAACACTAGTTTGTCGCCTTTTTCCTTATAATGAGAGGTTCCAAAGCTGGCTTCATGACGTTATTTGGCGAGGTGGCTGGCAAATCGTGAACTTCTCCACATCATTCTCCACTTGGTAGTAGACTCCACACATTAGATATTGAGAAAAAAAATGGAAACCTCTGTTTTCCAGTCCACCCACTAATGTTTCTTCCCGTCGTTCCTAGCTTGATATGGATGCCATGTCACAAAACCACCTAACAGGGAATGTGGTGGCTAAACACTTGACATAAATGCCACTTCACACCAAACCACAGCACAAATACTTCCCTTCCCTAGAATGTAATCAGAACGGGAAGAAACAATAGTGTGCGGTGGCGGTGGGAAAAAGGGAGATTTCCATTTTTCTCTCAATATGTAATATGTGGGGTCTACTGCCCAGTGGAGAATGAAGTGGAAAAGTTGACGACCTGCCACCCACCTCGCCAAATAATGCTCGGGAAGCAGCTTTACAACCTCCACATTATAAGGAAAAAGGCGACAAAGTAGTGTGAAGCAGTGTGAACTGTTCGTAATGAACTTTAGTACTTTCTTGCTGACAAATAAGTGGCATTAGCGTGGTCATATGACGTTGCTCCACATGTCATACATGCCAACCCCTGATGCAGCCCATAATACTCACATCCAACTTCTTCTCTTGGACCACAAGTCCCCGAGGAGTCCATAGTTTGAACCTGGTTGCCATGGAGGTGGTCTTCAATGGAGGTGGAGGTGCTGGCGGTGCCAACAATTGGATGTCCTAAATCTGGAAAGAGACTCATGAGTCTCACATGTCAGTGCTATGAGAACTATCTATCTTCTCCCCCCTGGCCGTTTCATTTGCTAGTGTATCATCCTGCTCACGCTTCAAATTTGCATTGCCATATTTGTATTTTTGGTTTCTACATGCTCCTGGGTGTCATAGATGTATATGGATGTGATGGATCGATGGAAAATTTTAGTGTTGTTCAAGGTGAGAACATAATTCACCTTTTGTGAAGTCCTTTAAGATCAAGCAGAGGACATGTTCACTGATCACTGCTTTTGATTGGAGCTGTGGCTTATTATTATTCACGATCTTGCGATGATGTTGATAGCAGGCGTAGCCTTTTCAGGACTTATTTGCGGAAACAGAATGTTCTTTTTGCCTTTGTCAAATATAGAAATATTCTGAGCGAAAAAAAGCTGGTACTTCTATTTCTGTGTGTTATGGTTATTTACTACCATATTCTGAATAAAGAAACATCATATGCTATCATACTACTGGAAGAAGATTTTTGTGTTGTGAAGGGTTTATATTTTCATATCTGCGTTTGTGCTCTTCTACATTTATTTCGTTTTGTCGCTGTTTTATTTTCTAAAAATACTGGCAGGCCTAATACAAACTAAAGCCAGGTATAATCACAAAAACAATTAGATTTGTGAAAACAAATCTTCCTCTGTCATTTTTAATTTATAGCTTGTTAGACTTCTTCTCTCTCCTAGTTCATATTAAGAGTGGAAAGTATCTAGTGCAGACTATCAACGAACTCAAAAGTATTTAGTGCAGACTATCAACGAATTTTGTTAAAGAATTCAAAAGATGTGTGTACGAAAATACATCCGGGCGCCGATGTAGCGCGCCACTAAGGATGCGGCGACCCGATCCTCGCTCACTTGACACCGTATCCAGATCAAGATACAGCGCGTCACCGCGGGGGTGACGGCCCGGCCCTTGGCCATTTGACACCACACCCGGGTTCTGATGTGGCACGTCGATGAGAGGGTTACGCCCCAATGAAAATCTTTTGGGTTTCATCTCCATAAGAGTGGCTGAGTTTTTACGTTGGCTTGACAAGCCTATCACAACCCTCCTCCTTTACCCGGGCTTGGGAACGGCTATGCTGAGACAACATAGGCGGAGTTTCTATTTTGCCTTTGTCAAATATAGAAATTTTCTGAGCAAAGAAAAGCTGCTACTTCTATTCTTTGTGTGTTATGGTTATTTACTACCATATTCTCAATGAAGAAACAGTATATGGTGGGAGGTATCCTACTACCGGAAGAAGATTTTTGTGTTGTGAAGGGTTTATGTTTTCATACCTGCATCTGTGCTCTTTCGACATTTATTTCCTTATGTCGCCGTTTTATTTTCTAAAAATACTAGCCCATTCTGACAGTTCATACTTCCGCCATAGTCAAACCATTAACTGGCAGGCCTAGTACAAACTAACAGGCTACAACTTGAAAACAAATCTTCCTCTGTTATTTTTAATTTATAGCTTGTTAGACTTCTTCTCTCTCCAGGTTCATATTTATTCAGAGTGGAAAGTATATAGCCTGACACATTAAGTTGGCTACCTGCAAACCATTTTGCGTCGATACATGTTGATTTGATACCCAAACAGTGATTTATATGATTGTACTCAGTTATTAGTTTGACCTATATATCGTCTTATTTCCATTAAGCGTTTCTTATAAATGTATGCAACTTGAATTGGTTTTTTTCTTACACACACACACACCCTACATGTTCCTGGCTGCTCACTCGGCGCACATCATATATTATCACATTATTTGGAGTGCTGTTGTTTGAACTTGGAAGTGCACGAGATGTATAACATATCTCATTGCTTTTTAATATTATCTGCACAGATCTGAGGCTCTGATGCTGGCACTGTCACCAGATGAGTCCGATAAATCGCACTGGATGTTGCTAGCAATATCTTCTGGATGTTGCTGCCGGATCAGAGAGTATTGTTTTTGCAGTAGCTGTTAATCAGGTATATTCCATTTCTGTAATCTTTCATTGACTTCTTATGGATCTTGATATGCTGTTAAGTATGTTAAAGCTTAAAACAGGAGTGCTTCTGGCTACTAGTCTGTGACTTATCACATGATCGGGCTTTGCACCTTATCCGGGGAAATCTCAGATATCCAGTAGAGTATTTATGTAATACTAGGGCAAGGCACAAGAGTTCACTACATAAGAATATAACTGACTGGACGGCAAGTATAATATGGATTACCATGGGTGGGAGGGAATTAACTATGCACTAATTGGTGACTGCCACAGGCAGCCCTAACCTCAGTAATACCACTGTTTCCTATTTCATGTGGAACATCAATGATGACATTGGATCCGCAGCTTGACCACTGTCTAGCTGTGCATGAGTGAAGGTATTGCTTGATGATAGAGGGACCGAGCCTGTATAGATACCTGAGCTCGTTGCATGAACCTTGTTTGAGTTCTGCGCCAATCAAAAGTTGTGGTCAATGAACATGTCTTCTGCTTGATTTTAAGGACTTCACAAAAGGCGAAATAGGCTCTCATCTGGACAATACCAATTTTTCCACCAATCCATCACACCCACATACATCTATCAAGCCCAGTAGCATGCAGAAACCAAAATTACGGACATAACAATGAGAATTTGAAGTGCGAGCAGTATGATATACCACCAAACAACTAGCAAATCAACGGCCAAGGGGAGAAGAGAGACGGTGCTCACAACGGTGAGATGTGAGACTCGCGAACCTCTTTCCTGATTTGGGAGCTCCGGTCATTGGCATCGTCAGTAACTTCTCCATCAAAGACCACCTCCAGGGCAACCAGGTTCGAACTATGGCTTTCTTCCGGACTGGTGGACCAAAAGGAGAAGCTGGATGTGACTATTATGGGCTGGCTCAGGGTCGGCATGTATAACATGTGTAGCAAGGTTGTATGGCCACGCTAATGACAGTTATTTCTCAGCGGAAGAGTACAAACATTACGTACAGTTCACACTGTTCCACACTTGTTCGTGCCCTTTTTCCTTATAATGGGGAGGTTCCAAAGTTGGCTTCACGAGTGTTATTTGGCGAGGTGATTGGCAAATCGTCAACTTTCCTACATCGTTCAGGGCAGCAAACCCCACATCTTAGATATTGAGCAAAAAATGGAAACCTCTATTTTCCACCCCACCCCTCTATTTCTGTTTCTTTCCGTTGTTCCTAGCTTGATATGGATGCCATGTCACACAAAACCTTCTAAGAAGGAATGTGGTGGGAAAAACGCTTGACATAAATGCCACGTCACACCAAACGACACACAAATACTTCCCTTCCCTGGAATGTAATCAGAACGGGAAGAAACACAAGTAGAGTTAAGTGGGGGTGGGAAAAACGGAGGTTTTCATTTTTTTTTCTCAATATCTAATACGTGGGGTGGGGTCTACTGCCCAGTGGAGAATGAAGTGGACTGCCACCCACCTCGCCAAATAACGCTCAGGAAGCCAGCTTTGCAACCTTCACATTATAAGGGAAAAGGTGACAAAGTAGTGTGAAGCAGTGTGAATGGTTCATAATGAACTTTTGTCCCTTTTCGCTGACAAGTGTCATTGGAGTGGTCATACGACCTTGCTCTACATGTCATACATGCCAACCCCTGAGGCAGCCCATAATATCCGCATGCAGCTTCTCTTGGACCACTAGTCCTGAAGGAATCCATAGTTTGAACCTGGGTACCATGGAGGTGGTCTTTGTTGGAGGAGGTGCTGGTGGTGCCAATGACTGGATGTACCAAATCAGTAAAGAGACTCGTGAGTCTCACATGTCAACGCTATGAGAACTGTCTCTCCCCGCCCCCTGGCTGTTCCATTTGCTAGTTGTTTGCTAGTGTATCATCCTGCTCACGCTTCAAATTTGCATTGCCATATTTGTATTTTTGGTTTCTACATGCTCCTGGGTGTCATAGATGTATATGGATGTGATGGATCGATGGAAAATTTTAGTGTTGTTCAAGGTGAGAACATAATTCACCTTTTGTGAAGTCCTTTAAGATCAAGCAGAGGACATGTTCACTGATCACTGCTTTTGATTGGAGCTGTGGCTTATTCTTCTTCAGGATGTTGCGATGATGTTGATAGCAGGCGTAGCCTTTTCAGGACTTATTTGCGGAAACAGAATGTTCTTTTTGCCTTTGTCAAATATAGAAATATTCTGAGCGAAAAAAAGCTGGTACTTCTATTTCTGTGTGTTATGGTTATTTACTACCATATTCTGAATAAAGAAACATCATATGGTGGGAGGTATCATACTACTGGAAGAAGATTTTTGTGTTGTGAAGGGTTTATGTTTTCATACCCGTGTTTGTGCTCTTCCACTTTTATTTTGTTATGATGTTTTATTTTCTAAAAATACTGGCAGGCCTAATGCAAACTAATGCCAGGTATAATCAGAAAAACAATTAGATTTGTGAAAACAAATCTTCCTCTGTCATTTTTAATTTATAGCTTGTTAGACTTCTTCTCTCTCCTAGTTCATATTTATTAAGAGTGGAAAGTATCTAGTGCAGACTATCAACGACGATGCACAGACATGGAGCAGACTGGGGATGAAAGGGGTGTGCGGAGTTCTCCCTGGGGTTTAGTGTGTGCGTGCTACCGCTTGGATGAGCAATCATGTGTGCATTCATGTGCACGGATTTTTCTTTATCGACCCTATCTAGCAATGAAATGATACACAAGCCTTCTGCATATTTGCGAAAATATTTTGAAGTACTCGCTGCAAGTACAGCTCATTCTTCAGTCAACTTTCATTCCATTATGTCTTCTAAAGCATGGTATTTAGTATGCTTTCTGCATACCTTGTGAATACTGATATTGCATTTCACAGAATGGGAGGAAGGTTTATTTCTTTTAAGGTTCTTTTTCCTTGAGCTGTTGAAAGCATATCTATTTAGACTGCAAGCTAAAAGATCTGGTGTGTGTTTTTATTTTCAGGCTGATTATGATTATAAGCTGTACAATAGATTGCGTTGTTTTTATCAAATGTTTGAACTCTCAGCTGTGATGTTTCTGCAACGAACTTGTAGGTCAAATCATTCAGGCACAGAGTAATCTTCAGGGGGTGCTATCTAGTGGTAATCAATAGCAACATGTATGTCCCTTCATGATTTTAGTTCTTGCTTACATCATTCACATTTTGCTGTCATTGGGTCCTTCAAATGCATTTTCAGAAAGAAATTTGTTTCCTGGAGTCGCATGCCTCATCATTCATGCAGCTAATAGCAAACTTGTGATGCGTGTCTAATTGATCAAGCTCCTATAGGAAATGAAGAGCAGCCTTGCTGTGATGACAGGATTACCATCCTTGATGAGAGCATACTATCATATCATGTCCTTTATGCCAGCATATAAGGTTGTACGCACAAGCATGATATCCTGAACATGCTGTCCATTATGGACTTCAGCGCCATACCTTGATATGGATATTTATCACTTTGATATGGACAGATTAAAGTTCAGCAAGTTTGCAGAAAGTTTGTTTGAGCAGCAGGGTATAGCTAATGCTACATTGGACACTCTCTGCCTTCTCTCTTTTGCCATTTATGCGGCCAACTATTGGATCGATCATGCCATCAGGCGTGATAAAGTTAAATCGATTGAATTCACTGAAAGTACAAGATGACAAGCTTTTTACTTAGACCCTCTAGTTATCAACTTTGCATCTTCAAATCTGTGAAGTATAAAGCTCATTAATGTTATTTACAAGTTTCTTTGATCAGCTCAGCACCGAATGCCCATCTTTGGAAAATCTGCAGTTGGCAGACAACACACCTGATTTTCCTGAGATTTCACCAGTCATTGAAGACTCTGGAAATAATAGAGGTATGGCTGCTTCTTAATCTCTATACATGTCTGAAATATTTATTTCGTTAAAACCTGTGCTTATTTTGTTTTACATATGTGAAGGTTGCATTCGAAAGAATGACTCCAAGGTGCCCAATGTTCATCAATCTGACAAGTCTCTCCCTTGGAGAATGGTGTTTTTCCAACAAATCTGCTCCTTTAGCTTGCTTCTTCGAGCACTCTCCTATGCTTTAGATTCTTGGTCTGAAGCTCAAGGTGGTTGACGACACTCAGCATTTGTCCTTGTCTATTTACTTAGCGAAGACATGAATTCTTGTTGACATGTTATACTCTTAAAAAGCAGCCGATTTACACAGCTAAGGGAATGTCGTTTGAAGCCAGACACCTTAAGAAGGTAACGATCCACTGCTGAAAAAGAGGACAGACTTCCCGTGCTGAAGGCTATACTGCTTGCCGATGCAAGATCTCTCGGGCATATCGTGTCGACGGGAGGACAGACTAGACCGTTCCTGCTTTCCATAGGAAGCTGAGCTCATCGGTCTTGTGCATATGGAATGCATCTTAGCATAGAGCTTTTGCTCCGGACATGCGCGGGACTTAATCTAGCTAGACATTTGGTTGTTCAATGTCGTACTGAATCCCTGGCCTCTGTCCTGACATGGACCTGTTAGCATGTACTACTACTTGTGTGTGAGTTGTGAGAAACTAGCTCCCATTTTATCTTGGTTGATGGATGGACATTGCAACTCATATTCTGTGTCCCTTTTGGTTTCGTGATGTTAGCTGAACTGGTCAAGCCTTGTTGAAAAAAAAAACTGGTCAAGCCAGTGCCGGTAATACCATGCGTCTTTGGGAAATATTGAAGGCTTGGCTGCCGGAGCCATCTGTGGAAGAAAAGCCAGGGGGTTCCCTCTGGCGCCAGAAAAATGAATTAAATGATTTTTTTTGGAAGAAAAGACATCAAGTATAAGAAAAGATCTTATACAAGAGTTTAGCTAGCTACAAGGTGAGTTGATGGAACATTTACAACCATGCACCTAATCAGAATGAACCGGCAAAGTGAAAAAAAAAATACAGATCTGTCCCCCCTATCAATGTGCCAAGAGAAAAAAGACAGGAAAACCAGCCGTCGGCGTGCTAGTCCGGTTGCTCCATGCTGCTTCTGTCCTGCCCCTCCTGGTCTCCGGTGACCCTTCTGCCTCCGGTAGGCGGGGAGCCAAGGATCATCATGGACATGCACGCTAAGTTCTGACAAAGAAGTTCTGTAAATGCAACAAGGCCACGTTCCCCGGTTCAAATAGACTGGGAAGTTCAGTTCAGTTCAGTTTCTTGCTGAAACTGCTGGCGAAAGGCACAGTTCAGTTTTCGCGAGGATAGGGAAGGCCCCGAGCAGACACGAAGGTACAGGCTCAGTCTCAGATCGAGAGACCGACGACGGAGTTAATGGAGGAAGCGGCGACGATCGATGTGGACGTACGGCAATGGAGGAAGCGCACGCCATGTCTGCCATCCAACCACCGACCGACGGTGTCAGTGTCACCGAGAACAGACACCAAGCCAAATCTATATATACGATAATAAACATTGCAATAGATAGGGATGGATAGAAAGATGGTGAGGTATGCGCGCACAGCACAGTCGTAAAAGGTTTGTGATCAGATAGCCGTGTGTCGTGTTCACTGCATATATTATATGTTTGTCATCAGTCAGATTTTCCTTGTGCTTGCTATCTCTCTCTCTCCCAAACATACATCAGTCAGAGATTCTACATATGAACAGACATAAGCAGACACCGCCATATCAACGGCTAACAGCAGCACACAGGAACTCAATCACACACCACCATATGGCTCGGACCTCAGATACAGGGAATGGATGAACAACAAAAGGGTACAAAAAAATAACTCGCTCACAATAAATAAATAGACTAGGATAACCCTAGTCAGGAATCCAGGAATTACATCAAAGCAAGTAAATTGAGACAATAGTCTTTCAATATCATGCTAATGCTAAGTGGGCTAACTAGTGAGTGCACTCACTGCTACACATTGCCAAGTGCTGCTGCTGCTGCACTAAGCAACAATGCAGAGAAATTAAATAGTCCACCCCAGGCTCCAGCACCCAGCAATTAACAATCAAACAAGACGACTGTTGCACATCCAGGCAAAACCAGCATCGGCGCAAAACCAGCATCAGGTGCAAAACCATGCGCAAGTGCATTGACCTCTGTTTCATTTAAGTCAATCATATTCATTAGCAAGCTTGCATAGGTGAGGACGCGCGCGTCCCTTTTATTTTCCACTACCACTCGCAACAGAAAATTGGTTGCATTCAACTCACTGATACGTATATGGAGATAAAATAGGCAGAGGTGCCTATCTCTGCTACAGGTAATCGGCTGTATGGATACGAGCACTGCGAAGTTCGCAGGTAAAGAACAGGTGGAGTCTAGTCCTTGGACGATCATGCCCGCACCAAGATCTCAGATGCATAGAGTGGTCTGTCTCGACGGAGAGCCGATGCTAGTGTCCCGGAAAGACGATGATGTAGACGGCAGTGGGGGGCAAGCACGATGGATGCCTGCCGTCCAACGACCGACGGTGCTCCTCACAGGAAACCATGTATACTTAACATATGCTCCAAAAGATGGGTTGACAGATAGACGGTGAGGTATGAAAGCATCACTTGTGTCACATATATCTAAGCTCCCAAGTTAGGTGAAAAGGTTTACGATCAGATTGATGTATCTTGTTTGCAGTGTTTGTTGACGGAAAAAGTTTATGGTATTGTCACTCAACTACTGATCGGAATTAAGATTTCTTTTGAGAGAAAAAAAAGGCTCCGATCTATTATAAAGGTTTATTTATAAGGCTTGTTGCCGCCGTATTTTTTCTTTCTATTAGGGCTTGTTGAGCTGTGCACTCAGCAAAACCTTCGCACTTTGTTCCATCTTTGTTGCTACCTCTGTGTGCGTGAGCGGTGTGAACTTTGTTGGATTTGTGCTCTGGTGGTTTGTTTTATTTATAAAACGGGGCGAAAACCTTTTTCGGTTAAGGTTCATAAGGGTATCTTCAACGCTGACCGACAAATTTGCTCCCGCATCCGTCCGCAGACAAGGAGTCGTCCATCCAACGCTAACCGCATACAGTTGAAACAAGATATAAATAAACCAGACAAAATTCATGAAAACCGGCTGGATTTCATATAAACCGGATGAAATTCATTACATTTTGGACATATTTGAACTAAACCAGTCTCTAAACCTAATCTAAATGATCGTCGGCGTTCGTATGGGCTTGAGCACTGCGAAATGAAGCTCCGGCTCCACCTTCGCAGTCTTCAGCTCCGCCTCGGCAGTCTCAAGCTCTGCCTCCGCAGCCATGAGTCCCGGAAAGTCAAGTTGTCCGCCTCCACGTCGCCGCCAAGCAGCTAATAGGTCAACGATCTTGAGTCCACAAAGCTTGGCTTCAATGCAAGGGGAGGAGCGGGGGCCTTCTTGGGACCTGAGCGTCGGCGACCTCCCATGCTCTACTCTTCCTCGTTGCCGGCGGCGCTCACAGACATGCCGTCTTCGTGGTCATGGCGGCAGGGCATGGCCGTGGCAGAGCTGGCGATGTCCTCCTTGTTGCTCTTGCCGAACACCTTATCCTCCGCCTCGTCGAACTCCCTATAGGCGGCTTCTAACTTCGCCTGATGTTGGCGGTACCGCCAGCAGTCGCAGCGGATGTCACGGGCGGAGCGATAGGACTCGAGTAGCGCCTCCTACTTGGGCACATCCACGTCTGGCGCGACGGTCATGCCAGCGGCGAGTAGCTCCTTCGTGAGCTAGTGCTCATCGAGGAGTAGAAGGTTGTAGGCCTGGTCGGCTTGCGCCTACTGGAACGCGGCCTCCCGCTCTTCCACCACCATGTTCATGTAGTGGGCACGAGCCTCGCCTGCTGACATCGACATCGACCGGCGAGGAGTGTGGCACCGGCTCGGCCTCAGGCATGTTCTTCATTGGGACGTCTGCAGCGCTGACCTCCGTCTGCTTGCCGGCAGCCAGCCAGCTGCAATGACGGCGATCTCCTTTTTCTGCTTGGACGAAAGGCTCTCCCAGATGGATTTGGATCTCGAGGAGCCCATGGCGGGCGTGGTGTAGAGAGGATGAAGGGAGCGAAGGATGTTGGATGCAGCTATGGACAAGCATGTGATTTATATATAGGGGGTGAAGGATCGATATGGTTGACTAGAGGGGGGGGGGGTGAATAGGCAACTACCAATTTTTAGTTTTTCTTCACAAATTAGGATTAGCAACAAATAGGTCGTCTAGATATGCAACTAGGTGAACAACCTATATGATTCTAGAACAAAGCAAGCAAGCAAAGGATACACAACCAAAGAAGCTTGCACAAATTAAAGGTAAGAGATAACCACAAGTGGAGCTGGTGAAGACGAGGATGTGTTATCGAAGTTCCCTCCCTTTAGGGGGAAGTACGTCTCCATTGGTGCGGTGTGGAGGCACAATGATTCTCAGGAAGCCACTAGGGCCACCATATTCTCCTCACGCCCCACACAATGCGAAAGCCGTGACTCCACTAGTGGTGCCCTTGAAGGCAGCAACCGAACCTGTACAAACAAGGTTGGTGCAATCTCCACAACTGAATTGGAGGCTCCCAACACCACCACGAAGCTTCACCACAATGGATTGTGGCTTGTAGGATCGAAAGTAGGTCTAGAGGGGGGGGGGTGATTAGACTACTTGACCAAATAAAAATCTAACATTTTCCCAGTTTTAGTTGTGGGCAGATTTTAGCAATTAGCACAAGTCAAGCAATCAACCTACACATGCAATTCTAAGAGTGTAGCAATGGAAAGTAAAACATTGCATATGAAGGTAAAGGGAAGGGTTTGTAGAGTGCAAACGCAATGATGAAACAGAGATTTTTGGCATGGTTCCGATAGGCGGTGCTATCGTACGTCCACATTGATAGAGACTTCAACCCACGAGGGGTAATGGTTGCGTGAGTCCATGGAGGCTCCACCCACGAAGGGTTCACGAAGAAGCAACCTTGTCTATGCCACCACGGCCATCATCCACGAATGACTTGTCTCACTCGGGTAGATCTTCACGAAGTAGGCGATCTCCTTGCCCTTGCAAACTTCTTGGTTCAACTCCACAATCTTGACGGAGGCTCCCAAGCGACACCTAACCAATCTAGGAGACACCACTCTACAAAAGGTAATAGATGGTGTGTTGATGATGAACTCCTTGCTCTTGTGC